AGAGAGAGCGCTGGGGCGCAGTTCGCCCAGCTCCCGCCGGCTCTGCAGGGCATCGAGGAGGACAGACGGACGGACGAACAAACCAGCCGCCGCGCCATCTCTTCGCGGAGCTCGGGTTTACAAACGACTGTTGAGTGTTTGTGGGCACAGCAGGCGCAGGGGCGGTGGTGATGGGAGGTTTTGACTAGCTTTACTTCTTGACCGGGGGTCCTGGGACTTGGATCAGGGTCAGCTTCGGGCTCAGGAACTGCTGAGGAATTAGGCAAACAAAAGACGCACTGAGACTGGCCAGAAGTTGCCTGGGCGCCTTGTCGCGCCCCCTCGTTCTCTGGGGGTGGGGGCTGGCCATTTGCAGGGAGGGAAGGGGGCACTGGAGCCAGCGAGGCCAGGCTGCACCCCCCTGGGTCGTGTAGTTATCAATCTGTTGTGCAATTTTTGGCCCTTGTTTTCGTGGCTTGGCTCGTTGGGAGGCCGGACACATCCACCCTTGGACTCGGTTCAGGGCGCTGCTGTTATTCTCTTTGCCCCTCTTGGATTTTCTGGATTCTTGAAAACGCAGTGGCCCAGGAGGAGAGGAGGAAGGAGGAAGGAGCAGATCTTCAGAGGAATGTGAGAACCTCCCAAAGCCCTAGCAGCCAGAAGGAGCTGGGAGCCAGGGGGACGGCAGAACCTTGCCTGGGTTTCTGGGACACTGGTTTCCGGGTGACTCGCTTCTATTTTACAACATTGTTCCAGTGGAAAGTGTCGAATTCTTGCCCTCACAGAGCTGGTTTCTCCAGGTCATTTGGCTTTTCTACTGAGTGTGAGAGGAAGGAGAGTCTTGCTTTCCCCAGGGACTGCCAGGGGAGTCAAAGACTGTGGCCATAACCAACCCCTCCCTGCTCCCAGGCAGATGCCTCAAGGCCTGATTAAGCAGTTTCTGGGCCATGCTGGACAGCATCTGTGGATACTGAGACCCTGCCTGAGGGGCTGAATCTGAGGCAAAATAGGCATATTCAGATACTCTGGTGAGCATTCTGGGTCAGAGCAAGGCCCAGTCCTTGTCATCTTTACCTACCAGGCAGCCCAACCATGGCATTGAAAGGCCGAGCCCTCTATGATTTCCACAGTGAGAACAGGGAGGAAATCAGCATCCAGCAGGATGAAGACCTGGTCATCTTCAGTGAGACCTCACTGGACGGCTGGCTGCAGGGGCAGAATAGCCGTGGAGAAACAGGGCTCTTCCCTGCTTCTTACGTGGAGATTGTCCGTCCTGCCATCAGTGCCAATCATGTGGACTACTCCAGCATCCCTGCAGGTTCTCTGGACACCCAAGTGAGCTTGTACAATAGCCCCAGTATGGCCAGCCCAGCCAGGAGTGGTGTGGGCAGTGGTTTCCTCTCAAACCAAGCAAGCTTCGAGGAGGATGATGATGATGACTGGGACGACTGGGATGATGGATGCACAGTAGTAGAGGAACCACGGGCTGGTGGACTGGGTACTAACGGACATCCCCCACTCAACCTCTCCTACCCAGGTGCCTACCCCAGCCAGCACATGGCTTTTCGACCCAAAGCACCTCTGGAGAGGCAGGACAGCCTGGCATCTGCCAAGCGGGGCAGTGTGGTAGGAAGAAACCTCAATCGTTTCTCATGCTTTGTGCGTTCTGGCGTGGAGGCTTTCATCCTTGGTGATGTGCCCATGATGGCCAAGATTGCTGAGACATACTCCATTGAGATGGGCCCTCGGGGCCCTCAATGGAAGGCCAACCCCCACCCATTTGCCTGCTCTGTAGAAGACCCCACCAAACAGACCAAGTTCAAAGGCATCAAAAGTTACATCTCCTACAAGCTCACACCCACCCATGCTGGCTCACCTGTTTACCGGCGCTACAAACACTTTGATTGGCTCTACAACCGCCTTCTACACAAATTCACTGTCATTTCAGTGCCTCACCTGCCTGAGAAGCAGGCCACAGGCCGCTTTGAAGAGGACTTCATTGAAAAACGCAAGAGGCGGCTCATCCTCTGGATGGACCACATGACCAGCCACCCTGTGCTCTCCCAATATGAGGGCTTCCAGCACTTCCTCAGCTGTCTGGATGATAAACAATGGAAGATGGGTAAACGCCGGGCAGAGAAGGATGAGATGGTGGGTGCCAGCTTCCTGCTCACCTTCCAGATCCCCACAGAGCATCAGGATCTGCAGGACGTAGAAGACCGTGTAGATACTTTTAAGGCTTTCAGTAAGAAGATGGATGACAGTGTCCTGCAGCTCAGCACCGTGGCATCAGAGCTGGTGCGGAAGCATGTGGGGGGCTTTCGCAAGGAATTCCAGAAGCTGGGCACTGCATTTCAGGCCATCAGCCATGCCTTCCAGATGGATCCCCCCTTTAGCTCTGAGGCCCTAAACAATGCCATTTCTCACACGGGTCGGACCTATGAAGCCGTTGGTGAGATGTTTGCTGAACAGCCCAAGAATGACCTTTTCCAAATGCTTGACACGCTGTCTCTCTACCAAGGCCTGCTCTCCAACTTTCCTGACATTATCCACCTGCAGAAAGGTAAGCTTTTCCTGTGTTTGGTGCTCTGCTGGATCCTGGGGATCTGGGGACAGAGTTAGCCTAGTCTAAAGTGAGCAGCTTACCAAGTTTTCCTGCCTTGATCTCTATCATTGACTCAACAAGTATACTAAAAAGGTTCTCTGTGAACAGTGCTAAGGAAGGTGGAGGAATATTGTGGACAGGCTTGTTCCTTGTTCTTACTGAACTCAGACTTTACCTTCTTGCCAGTTCATTTTTTTCTTTGTGTCTCATTTACCTCATCATGCATAGAACCCCAAGGCATTAGGCCCCCAGGCCTTGCCTTAGGTGAACCCATGGGCTCAGGGAGGGACCCAGGCTCAGACCCAGGTAAGGTTGTCTTTCCCTTCTCACATGCTCACCTCTTGCCTTTGCTGCTTTGGAGCTCTGCCCTGTTTGTGAGCCCCCTATCTGTGCGGGAAGATCTCTGTCCTCATTTTCATATGAAGGAGTCTGCGTCCACAGCAGAGTGGTTGCACAGGGAGTCTATGGCCCAGCTGTAACTATCCCAGCTCCCCAAGGACACGTCTATATTGGCCACCTCCCGGGCCTAGTGTGTTTTTAGTTCTCATGGCCCCCTGTGTGGGGGAGGGACAGGATGAGCCTCTGCCTGTTACTATTGGGACTGTCAAGGAACTGCCAGGGAAGTGACTCATCCTGGGTCACATGGGGCACCCGGCATGGCTCAGGGAATGGAACCATGAGTCTGGGGCACTGTTCACATGAGCCATCTTATCCCCTCTTCCCAAGTTAGGCTTATCTTCTTGCTTAAAGGGTGAGTCAGGGGCTGACCCAGCAGGTGGCTGAGTCTTGGAACTAAAGGCAAGACAGATGTCAAGAGGGAGGTGTGGTCCTCTCTGGGGCTGGTAACTCAGGAAGAACATAAGCAGGGCGTAGGACTGGCTCTCCGGACCCTAGGCCCTGAGGTCAGACCTGGCTTGGTGGAAAGTTTTACTCTGGGTGGGGCCTCAAGGCAGCCCTCTGGCTTGAGTATGGGGAACAGCAAAGCCCCCCACCTCTTGGTACCAAGCTGCTCTTCTCATCAGGAAGGTGGCTGTAGGAGCCTTACTAAACTCCTCCCAGACTGCTTTCTTCCTTCACTTTCTCCTTTCCCTCTCCTGTTTGCTGCATCTATACTTTCCTTCCTTCTCCTTTTAGCTCCAGAGGATTCAACGCCTGAATTCTAGTCTGGCTTTGCACCCACTTTTCCTTGTATCCCTGGTTGGGAAGAGCCTTTGCCTCTCTGGGCCTTAGTGTCTTATATATGAAGGTGGAGTGACACTTAGGCTTTTGAGGAAGGAGATCCCAGGGAGGGCCTGGCCCCGTGCCTAGGGCTGGTGCCAGAGATCTGGCTCTGCACTCCAGGTAGAGGTGGTAACTGGTGGCAGGGGTCCTGCCAGGCAGAAGCAGGTGCCTCCCTGTGCGGAAGTGGAGCCACACAGTGCACTAGGGCTGGGAAAGCTGGTTCAACCAGCTCCTTGGATGTGTGTTCTTGTGTGGGCAGCGGGGGGGCTGGGCACAGTGATTAAGCAGCTGTCCCCATTCATTGGCTGGGGACTCTCACTTAAGGGCAGAGTTGGAGCAAGAAGGCAACCCCATATAAAGGCACCCATAGTGCCTAAGCTCACATCCAAGCAGAAGGGAATGAAGCCAGATTGGCTTTCCCACCTCAGACAAGCAGACATCTGGGAGAAGCCATGCCTCAGTCTCCACTTGAGTTGTTTCTGAGAGTCAGAAGCTACTGTCCTCTGGGAAGCCTGAAGCAGAGGCTGCCTGCCTTCTCTTACCTGGACAACCACCCCTCCTTCCCCACCCCCCAAACCCTTGGAGTGCATACCCTTGGAGGCTTACTCTAGATTCTGGGCTCTGTCCTGAGTTTAGAGTAAATCTGGGAGGAGGGCTTGGAATGTGACAACTGGCCAGGCTTTGGGAATCCCAGCTTGAAAGAGTCCTATGCTGGCCCTGTGGATAGAGGTCTTCCTAGAGAAAGGGGCATGACATTTGGTCCTGGATCCCAGGATTCTGTCTATACTGTCTAGATATTTGAATAGATGGTAAGCACGTGAAGGAGCAGTTGGGGGAGGCCCAGGTTGGGGAGTCAAGAGACCAGGCTTGGAGGGCCCTCACCTATGGGGTGACTGTGGAGAGTTTTTGTTGTTGTTGCTATTAATTATTATTATTATTATTATTATTATTATTATTATTATTATTTGATCACAGGGCCTGGAACTCACCATATAGACCAAGGCTACTTTGATCTCCCAGAGATCTGCCTGCCTTTGCTTCCCAAGTGCTGGGATTAAAGGCATGAGCCATCACACTTGGCTTCTTATTTTTAATTAAATTTTTAAAAAATTGCCAGATATGGTGGTTGCACGCCTTTAATCCCAGCACTTGGGAGGCAGAGGTAGGTGGATCTCTGTGAGTTTGAGGCCAGCCTGGTCTACATAGCAAGTTCCAGACAAGCTGGGGCTACAGGGAGATCCTGTCTCAAAAAGACCAAAAAAAAAAAGAAAAAAGTGTATGATTGTGTGTCTGTATGTGTGTATATGTCATGTGAATACAGTTGCCTGTGGAGCCCAGAGCATTGGATCACTTGGAGCTGGAGTTACAAGTGATTGTAAGCCACCTGATGTGGGTACTGGGGATCAAACTATCAAACTTGAGTCCTCTGGAAGAGGATCAAGCCATCTTAAAGCCACTGGGCCATCTCTCCAACTCCACCTTGGAGAGTTTTCTCCCCTCAGTCTCTGTGTTGGTGTAGAGCCTGATTGGAGCTGAGCTGAGTCACCAGCCTGTTCGACCTCCTGGGTCAGCCCAGATACTAGGCTCCCTAGTAATGGCTAGCCTGGCACAAAAAAGGGATAATGACTGCCCAGAGCAAGCTGGAACCCAGGGCCCTCTGTTGATAGCCAGCAAGGTCAGGGCAGGGCTTGGTCTTTTTTTTTTTTTATGGTTTTTTAATACAGGGGTCTCCCTGTAGCCCCAACTGTCCTGGAACTCACTATGTAGACCAGGCTGGCCTTGAACTCACAGAGATCTGCTTGCCTCAGCCTCCCAAGTGCTGGGACTAAAGGCGTGAACCACCACACCCTGCCAAGGGCTCAGTCTTTAAGCCTATCACACTCAGATTTTGTGGTCTTCTTAATTTCATAGATGGGGAGTACTAAGGTGATTTGATAAACAGAGGAGTATGAGGCCAGTGTGTTTGAATCTTTACCTGAGCTGTCTCTACTGCATCAGGCAAATGGAGGAGGGGACTCCCAAGGACCAGAGAGCTGGGGTCAGTGAATGGAGAAAGGAAGGAGGCTGGGGCTGGATGCTCTAGCATCAACTCAGTTTGTATGCTTGGTGTTCCTGAGGCTGGCTCAGGACTATAGAGTATCCATGGAGGGACCATAGAGTTCATGGCTTGGCCAAGGCAGCATCACCCTTTCAGGGGCAAGCTCTTGTTTGGAGACAGGTGGGTTCGGCCTTATCTAAACATTTCTCCTTCTAGGCTTCTTTTTAAAAATGCATTTTATTTATTATTTTTGTTTTATGTGTATGAGTATTACATTGCCTGCATGTATGTGAGTGCACCCATGTCGTGCAATGCTGTGGAGGTCAGAAGAGGGTGTCATATTCCCCCAGTCCCTTTCTAAGCTTTTTTAAAAAGATTGATTTATTTACAATTTATTT